CAGCAGGAGAGAGAAACTTTCTCAAAGCATGCTCAATACCAGTATAGTGAGCTTAATAATAGATTTGTTATCTTGGAATTAGAAAAGAACGCAACTCAAATGAAAAATGATGAGTTAAGAAAAACTGTGTATGAACTTCAGAAAGTTCAAGAATCTACTGCAGCCCAGCTTACAGAGAACTCTCGATTAGCTGCTGAGAGAATTCAAAGTTTGGAGTCAGAAGCTGAAACTTTAATCTCAAAAAAGAAAGAAGCAGAGGTATTAATAACAAAATTAGAAGAGAAAGCTGAATTTCTGTTAGAAAGTTCTAGATCATCAGAGAATCAAGTGGTATGACACTTAATCTGCTTTAGTTAATTTCCTGTTGACATACATTGCCGTGTTCTTTATTGAGCTATCAAATGCTATGCAGCAAGGTTTACTGCTGAAGGTTTCAGCATTAGAGACTGAAAACAAAGAAAATACAGAAAGACTGCAGGCAGAGATATTGAACAAATCAGAGGAAATAGATACTTTGCAAAAGGAGAGAATGAAACAAGATCAGCATGCTGATTCTCTTGATAAAGAAGTCATCCAGCTTCATAATGTCTTGGAGGAAAAAGACAAGTGTATTTTACATTATAAGCAACAAGAAAAGAAGCTGGAAGATCAGATCAAACAGGTTTTGGAGCAAACTTATAGTGCAAATTGCCTGTTCCTGATTTTTTTTGTGTGTGTTATTTAAGTTTTTTGGATGAATTTGCAGAATCTATCATTATTGACTGCTGCTGAAAGCAAACTTTCAGAAGCTAGAAAGCAATATGATCAAATGGTAGAGAACAAACAGTTAGAATTATCAAGGCATTTGAAAGAAATATCTCAGAGAAACGATCAGGTCTTATATATAACTGGTTACCTACTATAGGTGCCTGATGTATAGGGCACTAACTTCACGTGAAAACTGCATTATTTGAACAGGCTATTAATGACATTAAGAGGAAGTATGAATTGGAGAAGATGGAAATTGTGAACATGGAAAAAGACAAGGTTTGATATAATATCCTGGCATTTGCAGCATGTAATTTCTATTAACACGTTTCTAACCAATTCGAACCTTCAGGCTGACAGAGCTATTGCAGAAATTGAGGGAGGGTGTGACCAAAAACTTGCAGAATGCAAAGAAGAATCAAGGCAGAAATTGATGCACATTCAGGAGGAACACACGTTGCTGGTAAACATAGAAAAAGACTTGAAATTGAAACTAATGGCTACTTAAAAGTAATCTGGCGTTGTGTTTACATGGGATTATAAATGGTTTTATTGCATTTGGTGATATTTTTAGTTAATTAAAAAAAATCCATTTTTTAAATTGAAGTTACTTTGTGATTAGTATCTTTTAAAGGTGAAATATAAAGTCATGTTGGATAATCTTAAATTTCTAGAGATATCCGAGATATCCGAGATATCCGAGATATTCGAGATATCCAAGATATCCGGGATATCCGATTTAGTTATCTGGAATTATTTGATTTTGAGTTATTTTGTTTCAGATTAGATAAGATAGTTTTTTGGTAAGTTTTGATTTGATAAGATATTTTATTATCTTCTTGTTAATTCAGTACGTTGTACAATGGCTATTTAAAGGTCATCTCTTATTCAATAAAAATTACAGTGAGTTGCTACGATCACCCACAATTTTAGTGTTACTCGTCTCTCTTAGTTTTTCTACAA